AGGTGGGGCTGCCATGCACCGGTGCCACCGGACCCTCTGACCACCATCAGTAGGCAAGACGGGTGAAGTGTCTTGCCCAAGGACACAACGACTGCAACGGATGGATGGGGGATTGAACCGGCGACCTTCCGGTTCCAGGACAACTCCCCTAACCACTCCACCACAGCCGCCCCATTATGTGTTTTTCTGTTTTATTTTTCAATTTAACTAAAACAATTTAGTTCACTATGTTTTACTATGAAATATATATGGTTATTTGTGCTTAAGTCTTAAACAAATATCTTAAATTTTATGTTAGTTTGAATAATTCAGCAACATACAGGTGGTGGTGTGCACAGACTCCGAAGCAGTAATTGAAAGTTTTCAAGGAAAAGGAAATAATAGGAAAGATTTAGTATTAGCAATTCAACACAGTTTATTTAGGTTACACAGGGGTGGCATAGATATCTGGTTTTGTTGGGTCCCAGCACACGAAGGAGTAAAAGGCAACGAAAAGGCAGATGAATTAGCAAAAAGGGCTTTAACAATAACAATTAGAATTGCTTTTGGGAAAGGAGAAGGGAAATCAGTAATTAAGAGTAAAGAAATAAAAACATGGCAAAAAAGTGGAATGAAGATAAAAAAGGAAGGAGTTTATATAAAATACAGAATTCAGTGTTAGTTAAAAATATCAGTGAGAAAAACTGAAGAGAAGAAATAATAATGATGAGATGAAGAGTAGTCATACCTATTTAAATGACATTTTATGTATAACTGGGAGGACAGATAATGATAAATGTGAAGGATGTAGAGAAAAAGAAAATGTTGAACGTGTGTTGATGAACTGTAAAACAAATGAGCCTAAAAGGGACAGAGTGAGAAATATAATGAGGACAGGAGTGGAGTTTAAAGGGTTTACTGGGAACTGAAGGAACATAGTGGATATTTACAGATTAAGGAAAGCATTATTTAACTATCTCTATGAAACAAAACTGAAACAATGGGATTTAAGTGATGTGAAGTAGTGTTGCTACACAGTCGTGTACAGTAGGGGGCGGTATGCTCCTTAAAGTTGTGATACGCCACATTAGAACAGAAGAAGAAGAATGTCTCGCAGATGTTTGGGGACTAAAGTTAACAGAGATGTCGAGACAAGAAGTCAGACAGCTACTGGAGGCTAAAGTGGAAGAAAAGGAGGAGATTTTAGAACGAACAACAAGAGATGAACAGGAACTGTTGAGTTTTGGTGAAACGGATCAACAGAACAACAACAACCAACTCTCTACATTAGGTTTGTATTGATTTTAAATGATTTCACTCTTGTGTCGTACTGTTAAAGTGTTATGCTAGCTAATGCAGTTAGCTTCATAAAGATCGAACAAGTACTCTTTAGCTTGCTAACTGGTTACAGAGCTTCAACTTTCACGATATGAAACGAAGCTGCTAGCTCGTTGCTAACTACACAGACGTGTTCACACACCTGGTGTTACAACATATATTGTGAACATGATATTTTTGCCGAACATGGGCACAAAGAAGATGTTACGCCAAAAAGTGAAGCATTTGATCAGAGGCTGAGGACACTTACGCATAATAAAAATAAATAAATAAGTAAATAAAATAAAGCTACATTGACATGCCTCTAACACATGGTCACAGAATATGACAGCTGTTGTCATATATTGTGACTTCACAGTAGCTTTGGTAAGTAGTAAAAATATTTATTTAAAAACTGTCTTTGCTGATAGTTTACATCATCTACTATCCGAAAAATAACATTTGACCACTGAAATGTTGAGTGTTATTAAATAATTACAGGGTCACAGAATATGATAACTGTTGTCATATATTGTGACTTCACTATAACTTAGTGAATAGTAGAAATATTTGTTCAAAAACTGTTTCTACTCATTGTTTACATCAGCAAAAACAATTTAAAAATGAACAATCAGCAGAAGCAGTTTTTTTATGTAAATATTTTTACTATTTACAAAGCTACAGTGAAGTCACAATATATGATAGCAGCTGTCATATTCTGTGACCATGTATATCAGTCAAAAGGTTTTTTTTAATTTTTTTATTTTTATTTTTTTGCATACGTGCCTTCATCCTCTGATCAAAGGCTACATTTTTGGCGTAACATATTCTTCTTTGTGATCATGTTCGGCCAGGTTCTGTTGTAGAACTGCAACAGTGCCCCCTCTGGTCACAAAATATGATATGTATATGTGATCCTGCGTCCTGTGACACGACATAACTTTTCTACAGCGGGAGGGGGAAATTTTGAGGATTAATTCTCGCTATACGTGTTTTAAAACATGTTATTTCATCAGTAAATTGCGAACTCCTCCTGCTCAGTTGTTTTTGCACTTGCAGCCATTTTGACACAGGTGCGACGACGTAACTGACAACAGGATGGTAGAGGGTGAATTTCTACTGTTGGCCAACTTCATACAGTTTATACCATCTATCGCATATACCGTGCAGTCCTATTTCCGATGCATATTTGTGGCCGATAATTGGTCCAAACTAATAGTAACCCACATGGGTTCACATGGTCTGACCAATCAGAATGTGTATTGTTAGTTTTGGGGGTGTGTACTTTTATGATTGACTGACAGCTGCCAACATATCAGGTCAAGGAAGAAGTTTGTTAGCAGTGGTCCAGGCAGTTCTTAATAAAGCGAATAAACTGTATTTGTCAGAACAAATTTGAAAGAATATCAAGCTACTTAACGCTGGTAGAACATTTTGAACCAGCTGCCTAAACAGATGAACCTGTAGAAGGATGTTTACTGCCTCATTAGTCCTGAGAGAAGGTGGCGCGGCTCGCGCAGGTGGATACTATGTTAGCGGAAGAGGAGCAAATAAATGAAGTGCAAGAGGAGCAGAGAGGACCAGGGAAGGGAGACAAGTCTGGTGATTACCTGTAAAACACTGACCCGGGTCACTGAGACAATATCATCGACCAAGAAGTGCGTGGGTTGTGGGAGAAAACGTGACAGATGTAGATAAATTGGATCATCGCGGGAGCGCACTACATGTTAGTTTTGTTTTAATTTGTTTTTTCTGCTGCTTTAGTTTTTTGATTAACACTAAAATATATCAGCGTTAAAGCAAAGGTGTCTCCATTTAACCTTTTGTATTTGTCCCCAAAACTCATAATGTTCTGTTAAAGTAATTCCTTTAAATGTTTGTAGTTTATTATAAATTATCTGCAATAATGGATCTTTTTATAAGACATAGTTTTGTCGATTTAGGCAAGTTAAATTTTATCAGTTTGAAAACAAATTGTGACCTAACTGTACTATGGTCAATGGATTTAATGATCAAATCCGTCCGTCCGTCCGTTTTCTGCCGCTTATCCGGGGTCAGATCGTGGGGGCAGCAGCCTAAGCAGAGAGACCCAGACTTCCCTCTCCCCAGCCACTTGGGCCAGCTCGTCCGGGGGAATCCCAAGATGTTCCCAGGCCAGCCCAAGGAACATAGTCCCTCCAGCGTGTCCTGGGTCTTTCTTTGGGCCTCCTCCCAGTGGGACGTGTCCAGAACACCTCACCATGGAGGCATCCAGTAGGAATCCTAACCAGATGCCCGAGCCACCTTAACTGGCTCCTCTCGACGTGGAGGAGCAGCGGCTCTACTCTGAGTCCCTCCTGGATGACGGAGCTTCTCACCCTATCTCTAAGAGAGAGCCCAGACACCCTGTGAAGGAAACTAATTTCGGTCACTTGTATCCGTGATCTTGGTCTTTCGGTCACTACCCAAAGTTCGTGACCATAGATGAGGGTAGGAACGTAGACCGACCGGTAAACCAGGAGCTTGGCCTTCTGGCTCAGTTCCCGTTTCACCACGACAGACCAGGGGTCTCATTTATAAAGGATTGCATGGAAACCATACTAAAAGTGAACGTACGGCCAAAAGGCAGAAATGGCATACGCCAAAAAAATTTCAGATTTATAAAACCGTACGTACGCACGTTTCTGTGCATCTTTCCTTTATAAATCAGAGCTTCAC